TTTGCACAAATATGTTTCCGTACTTTACCTTCACACTTTGTTAGAGGCAGAAGCAGAACCAAGAACAGTCTCCATTTTGCTTCCATACCGGTCAAGAAGAGAGTGGATCCTGTTCTGAAGAGAAGAGGACACACATCTCTGAACACCTAAACCTCTCACTCTCACAGGTGGTGAGAAATGTCATGAAAGGAAGTCAGGAGCTTCTGCTTTACTGTGTCTGACCGCTTCTTATGCCCGTGTCGATGCAGAGGGTCAGGTCTACAGTCACCGAATGCAACACATGTGAAGTACTGCATGCTTTGGTCTTGCAGTTAGTTTGAGTTGTACGTCACAAAACTTGCTAGAAGTTAGATGTCTGCTCTGTGGTCATCACATATTTAGAGGCCTGAGCTCGGGCTGTGAATAGAAAGCTGCAGATCGAAGCCACTTTGGTTCCTCGTGTCTTTAACAGGTAAACCAGGGTGTCGTCTGCAGACAGCATTTTTACATAGTGACAAAAACCTACCTCACTTCATGCAAGACGATTCACTTTGTTCACACGGAAACACACTGTGCACAAGAAGACGAATATTTAGACGTTTTAATTCTTCAGTTAGCAATCATGCAGTTGTAATGTATTTTAAAATCCCAGTAATTAAACACCAGTAGCCAGTCTAAGTAGTCCAAGTAAGACATGATTTTTAGGCACAGTTTTACACTCAAGTTAGCTCATTCTCTTTTATAAAAATCCATCATTAAACCCGAAAAGTTTGAATAAAACGCTGATTTGTTAATGACAAAAAGGGATATTATTGTAGGATCATCTTAAAAGTTTGCCAACATGTTATACAGTGCTGTTCTCTTGATCTTTGGTTACATGTTAGCATAGAGTTTGCAGCTTGCATCAGTCTCTCTGCCGTGTTTCTTCTGGCTCTCCAAAGCACCCGTCTCTCTGCCGGCTGAATTAGAGACACTCTGGTAGAGATCACTGTCTGGCTGTTGGAGGGCTGTGTAGGGGTCATCAGGGTCATCTCCATCCTGGACAAATACTAATCTTAATGTAATACTTGTTTTAAAGAGGCCCTAAAATGCTTTTAGGGCTTTACCTTCCTGTAGTGTGACATATAGGTTTTGTACATCATTTACATATAATTTGATTACACAT